ATGCTGGCCCATGTTGACTCCAATGCTTCGCACAGTTGTGTCAAGTTGGCTGGATGTCCTTTGGGTGGTGGACCATTCTTGATACACACGGGAAACTGTTGAGCGTGAAAAACCCAGCAGTGTTGCAGTTCTTGACACACTCAAACCGGTGTGCCTGGCACCTACTACCAGACCCCGTTCAAAGGCACTAAAATATTTTATCTTGCCCATTCACCCTCTGAATGGCACACATACACAATCCATGTCTCAATTGTCTCAAGGCTTTAAAATCCTTCTTTAACCTGTCTCCTCCCTTTCATCTACACTGAGTGAAGTGGATTTAACAGATGACATCAATAAGGGATCATAGCTTTCATCCCCGTTTCACCAGGTCAGTCTATGTCATGGACCTAATGTTTTGTACACTCAGTATCTATCTTACTTTTAGAAGTGTTTATTTCAGGCTGACTAATAGCATCTATTGAGTTGCAATGCCCGATAAAATGAATGTCCAAATCAACTTAAAGTATCTACAAAATGAGTTTTGCAGCAACACAATTCGAAAGGAAGCCTACAGCTAAATGTTTTCCTTTCGTTGTTTGCGATTCACCAATTATTCTTTTGATTCCCATGATTCGATTAACTGCTATTTAACCAAACCACAACTACTAAAATGACGAAGCACATCATTCAATTCTTCAAAAATAATAATTTAAAAAATAATAGTTTCATATGAATTAAATGAATCACTATTTATTTTTTTACTGTTCTGAGAAATGTGAAGAGGGGCATCTGTCATATAGTGAATTAAATCTGTATGGCCTAAACAAGAATAATAGGGGAGCTTTTTTTGCTGCGTGTCTCATGTCTTGACTGTTCTTTCATGCACAATGATGCACCTGGCCTCTCCACTGCCTATCAGCTATTCCTCTATGTTCTTGTGGATTTCAGTAGGAAATTGGTGCAGATTTCAATGTGTTGTATGATTGCTAGTTAACCTATTGTAGATCTGGACAAACGCTCCACCTACCACTATTGTCACTATGGATAGAGGGCAGGATAGAGTTGACTGTATAGTAAGCGTGCAGAAAAGCGTAGTGCATAAGGGAAGCGCCAAAACACCTTGATGGTGGGGGGCGCATGCAAGAAGATGAGGAAATGTGTCTATATGGAATAAATTATATAGTAAAACCTGCAAAATGGGGAATGTAAACCACTGAAAAAATGCACTACCCTCCCCTGTGCCCAATAAAAAAATCACACAACCCTCCCCAAAGTAAGAAAAGATTAGACAACAGTCCCCTATTTTGGACCAATCTCCCACCCCAGTAAATGTTGAACTGCCCCTTATCAAGAGAAACGAGAAACCAACCACTATAAAGGTGATTTAAATGTTATGATAAGATGACCTCACCCATGCTCATCCATGTTCAGAGTATGCATGCACGCACACACTTGCACATACAGACACACGCAAAACTTTCCATTCTCGCCTTAATGTGCACACTGCTGCATTGGTGTGCTGCTAAAAACGAAAGAAAAAGAAAGAAAGTGAGATTGAATTGAAGCCCTAAAATGCTGTCATGTTCACACCGTCACGTCTGTTCTCATTAACCAATTGTTGTAGAACACTAAAACAAAACTCCCTCCTTCATTCTCCTACACAATTCTCTTGGACAGTTTGACGTCACAAACACATTGAGGAGAGGGATCTTCAGTTACTGTCCCCCCGGGGACACTAAGATTAAGATCCATCCTCAGAAGAGGTCTCAAAGGTCATAAGGTAAACGCTAACCCAACAGTGGGCTGGGAGAAGCTCTACTGTGCCTCATCTGCCCACACCTACCCAGTGACTCATTATGCACCGTGCTGGCACAACAGAGCCCTGTTCGCCTGCTGGGTGTACCCCTGTCTTTCGGAGCATGGTCTGTTCTCTGTTCTAGGCCAAATGCAAGGGGGGAGGAGAGAATGGTGAAGAGGGGTAGATAGGGATTGGGCTGTTGCAGAATACATACACACACACACACACACACACACACACACAGGCACAGATTTGGCACATAGATATTGACATGTGCACCCACACACACACAGACACACACACAGACACAGACACAGACACACACACAAATGCAAGGACATATTTCCATTGCCCACTAACATGTGGAACTACAACAAATCCAGATGTTCCCAAAATCATAAATGTCCAAATAATTTAGTTTTGCATGAAAGCTTACCTTTTTGTTATGAATCACTCAAATTGAGGATGAAATGCATCACTTAACTTTGAATAAAATGTGTAATCACAATGTACAATGCACACACTTATGCTACTGGCATTGTACCAACTAAGCTTTACATACAATGACATGAATGATAGATTGATATTGAAAATAATTATGGAATGTAAATACATACCCAGGAGGCTTGATCCATGGCAAATAACGTTGATTCTTACCTCAACTATACCTTTAATTTTGTTTATTCAATTTGAGGGACTTTTTAAAAAAATATTAAATGTATTTAGTTCAAATAAATATTGAACTGTGAAACAAAGTCTAATTAGTAATGAGGCTGTCTATCTTACACCTTTCTTTCTTTTTAAATAAAACATGAATAACTTTGTAGTAATAATATTACTACTAACCTGTAAAGATGCTCACAGATATGTTAAGGTGCATCAACTTCCAAATTGATTTTATCTCTAACAAAAATACATTTAAAGTTATATTGTGTTCCACATTTATGATGTTGTTTGAGGTTTTGAACGAGGCTAATATTAGCCAGTGCTGCAACCTAGCCAACCAAATTGTTACTAACGTGATTATCTGGCATGAGTCATGCTTCCTTCCATCTGCACAGGCGAAGACAAATCCCACAGACTAGAACAACTTCAGGAAAATGTGACGAAAACGGCTGGATACCAATTCACATTTAGCGTACCTCAAGTCAATCCCCCAAATGTTACTCCTCGTTTCAATTTCCATTAACATGAACTACTCTGGTTTCGTTTGCGAAATCCACATTCAACCATTATCTCTGCAGGTATATGTCAAGAGAAAACTGAGAAACTTAATGAAAGGCCAATTACATACATTTATTGCATATCATTTAATTGTAAGGAATGAAAAAAACGAGCACATATGAACATCACATAATATGGTTAGTGAGTGAAATAATTTTGCACAGCAAAATATATAAGAGGAAGGTTGAATTAACATATGTCTTAAAGATTTATTGATGAATGGTATCTCCCCATTTTGTACAAGCAGGGTGTCAATCCCTGTCTATTTAACAATGTCCAGACATTATTGATTATAATAATATTATTGCCTTGTAAATAATGAGTTTGTTTGAGCCAAAAATAATGTAGTACTGGTTGACAACAAACTATTAAAATTAAGTTATCCTAGCAATTCCAAAAGCTATCTATCTGCGTTGTTTTATTAGCTTCATAGAGTTCCCATTCTGTGATATATTGCAGACTACATTTTAGTGCAATTCAGTTCCAAAATACTTCAGAATACATTGTCAAAATGCATGGTTCACGCTGACTTAGGGCTGAAGTTTCTCCTTATTTAATACTTTGGTTTAAAATACAGTGAGTGGTTGGCGAAGACAAGCACTACTACAGCTGTCAAACTACTGCTTGAACTGCAAGAACATGCTGCAAAATGCGCTGCTTATGCATGGAAACAATACTGTTTAATTGTATAAATTGGAGCCGCGCCAACCTCTCCTACCCAATGACAGGAAAACAATTTAGTGCACAGGACTTTATGAAACCTACATCTAAATGATCCTAACCATCTATATCACATTCCTCTTTAAATGTCAACCTGTAGCACATCCATGTTATCTTTTAGATTTACAGATTATAAAAACTAGGCCTATATATACTGAAATTATAATCCATAGCATTCCAGAATTGTCAAATGCACAAGGATGGGGCATTTATTTTCTTTTAAATAAACAAACTGCTTTTAAGCAACATACAGTTTAGTCCCATATAGGGATAGATGATTCCTTTTAGAATAGTTGAGGTCCTTTTTGCACCCTTGTAACATGGATCCCCGCCGACCAACTTCCATCAGGAATGCGTCAGGGCATTCACTGTATAGAAATGGGAGCTTAGTCGCATCATTCAACACAGTTGAAATGCACTTGCACGGGAAGGGGGGTGGTATAAGAGTCCTTGTCACTTTTTTGTTGTTGTCCCAAAAAAGTGATCAGGTCATAAAACAAGTATGAATGCCATGCTGAAGTCATCCGATAAAAGTACATTTTCAAGCACAAAAAGAAAAGAAAAACCGTACATGTCCAGCATGCAGGCCTGTTCAAAAACATATCTCTTTTAAAGTAATGGATATTGTTTCTTATGAGTAATAGTCTGTTTGTTGCTAAACACAAAATAGCAAGCATAACGCATGAGATGAGGTGGGGTAAAATGGCAGACTCGCAGTCCTCCGAGTTTGGCAGAACAAAAAAAGAAAAGGAAAAGGCCAAAAACGTCTTCTTATTGTAGATGGATGCAGTTTTTGACCGGTATTTGTCAAATGGTGAAAAAAGGCAAATCGATGAACTTCAAAGGGGTACACTTAGTGCTTGCATGCACACATAGTATACAGCAATATTGTAAAGTTAAAATAACTTCGAAAAATAATAAATGATAGTTCAAAACACTGCAAGTAAAATGAACAACGATGAAAAAGAGCTTGACAAAAATATGCATAAAATAATAAGTATGGTAGCAAAAAAAAGATGATGTCAGGTTTCAGTTTGGACTCCAAAATGAAGGACAATTATGACAAAGTTCCATCTTTCTATTGCAAGCCACCCAAAATTCAAAACCGTTATTTGACAGACTCAGCAAACCCCTGTTGTCAAAAAAATCAAAACCGAAAAAAAAGTTTGCAAATTTGATTTATTGGGCTAGTATACCCCATTACAAAAAAAAAATCACAATGGAAACTTTTTAATGAGGGAACTGACAAACTCAGTTTTCATGATAATGTCAAGACTCACATGAAAAACTCCGGGGAGGAAGGGTTGTTGTCACTGCTGGATCCATTTTCTCTGAAGCCGTTGCTGATGAGCTTCTCGTATTTTTCTTTGTATGCGTCCCTCTCCCGGGCCAGCCTGGAGATCTCCGCCTTGAGGTGGTCGACTTGCTGGACGAGCTGCGTCTTCTCGCCCTCCAGGACGTGCCGCTGCTGGACCCGCTTGTAGCGGCAGGACTGCGCATAGCCTCTGTTCTTTAGGGTCCTCCTCTTCTGTTTCAGCCGGATTACTTCTTCCTTGCTGACTCCTCGTAGCTGCCGGTTGAGCTCCCGCACCGACATGCTCACCAGCTGGTCGTCCGAAAACCGGTCGTCTAAATGTCCCATGTGTGGGTGGTTTCCTCCGGAGCTGCAGTTGGACGAGACCCCGGGTGATTGGTGATGGTGGCCGCCGTTGTGGTGGTGATGGTGGTGGTGGTGGGGACCCCCGTTTTGGGCTGCTGCGGCGGCGATAACTGCGGACACCACCGCGGCGGCAGAGCCCATCTCTTCCCCGGCCATGGTGCCTCCTCCTCCGGCTCCGCTGGCAAACTGCTGCCCTCTAGCATAGCCATCGAAGGACTGGAGCTGGTGACTGCTGTTGATCAGCGCCTCAACTGCGTCTTCGGGGCTGAAGCCCAGCGCCTCCGGATTCAACTGCTGTTGATAACCGGACATCCAGTAGAAATCCTCCAAGTGTGCCTTCTGTTCGCTCCCCGACCCCGGACTGGGCGACGAGAAGCTTGGAGAAGGGGGCACCGAGCTGCAAGGCGTGCTCATCGGGGTGGAAGACAAGGATCCCCCGGCGATAAGGCGGCTGCACTGGCTGATGTTGCGATCGGGCTCCACCGGCTCCTTTTTCACTTCAAACTTCATCAGATCGAAGTCATTAACATATTCCATGGCCAGGGGACTGGTGGGCAGGTCGGAGTTGCTCATTGCCAGTTCTGATGCCATCCTCTTGCTGCCGACAGTCCTCCAAAGGGGGTGAAGAGCAGCTGTCAAACTGGGTTGGGTTGGAAGAACGTGAGCCAGTTTGATTTTTAAGCGTATTTGTCTTAAAGTGAAAAAAATAGGTTTTCAATGTCCTTTTTGCAGCGACGAGTTCCCAACTGTAAAGGAATAGTTTTCCTTTGCAGAGTCTATTGCACAGACGCACCAGAGCCGTGCACGCGAGTTGCGGAGTCCTCTTTCAGCATGAGAAATTCGGCGAATTTGTATTTTTAACATTTAACACTTTACTGTTTCTTCATGCATAGGCCTACATTGCGTAAAGCGGAGAGGGGTGAAATGTCGAAGGAGAGGGGTAAATGTAGCCTCGCACGTAAAATGCCTCTGACTTGTAGGCGATTTTTTAGAAGGATCACACAGCAGATGAGTTTAAAAGCATTGCAGAGTTTTATAGCCGCCCTGACGTCAGGTTGGAAATGGGAAATTGACTCGGACGAAGAGCCAATGGGCTCGCACAATCTATAGGCTAATTAACATATTAGGACAGAAACAAAACTTTTCTCAACTGTCAAAGGCTATCAGCTGACTGTCAGCTGGAACTCAACCTCTTAACTCTTTCGCCTCTCCATTTTAGATATATTATTTTAATGGACATTTATTCTACCATTTGGATTAAAACAATTATCATTACATTCTCTCACTGCGACCATGGTGGGGAAAGGACAGTAGGCTGTGTGCACATTATGGTTCGATTTAGTGTTGTTTCAAGTGGTACTGGTAACATTTTAATATCCAAATGTAAAATATTATATAACATTTATCAAGTTATTGATGCAATAATATATATTACTAGTTGTTATCGTAAAAGAAATGCGTAATACCGCTTTTGTATGGTGCATTGATTTATATTAGTTTCAAAAGTGTCAAAATATAGTATTCATGATTTATGATATACAAATATTGGGGGAATGGCTGTGCACACGTTTTCACAGTTTGTGTTACTTGAAATTCGAAGTGGTCAAATCTACCAGTAGCCTAACCAAAGTGCATAATCATACTTTACAATCATCTTAGTTACATGAACAACAGCGTTGGTTCATACAGTATTTAAATGTGACAGAATACAGGAATAAATATAATTCTGTGCTGAAGTTTTATGAAAGAAAATTACAAAGGATTGTGGAGAGAGCGGACCTACCTCTGCCGTTCTAAAACTCAACAGTGCCACCTTTTGGAGACATCGAAGCACCGTTCTCCAAAATAAACCGCTTCATTTGAACGAGTCATTCACAGCGGTAGCAAAATTAGACGATTTCGCATGAGACTATTTATTGGCAAGATTAATACTTCAATGTATGTATAAGGTATGGTCAATTTGTTTTAGAACGACAGTATGGATATGTTGACAGGGGAATTGCCAAAGGTGTGAATGGTACATAATACTGGCATATTACGCATGACTCACGTGTCAATTGCAAGTCCTTTTGGGGGAGAAAATATAGGCTACAACATTCCCCACTCCATCAGCAGTATACACTAGATTATATAGAACATTCGTTACATAAAACAAGTAAACATGTACTTCCTACTTGGTCCTATGAAATCATCATCCCCTCACATAGGCTGCTATAAAGCAGTGGTTAAATGGGAGTAATTCAGTAATGAACTGTGTTCCAACCAGGCGGAGATTAGCCTACGTGTGTTATAGTGCTATAAAAACATTTTTAAAAAAACGTTATCTAAAGCAGTGATTCCACGGGCCCTGCTCCAAAGTCATACATTAAACCACTCTCTTGTTATAGCACTTTATCTCGACAGTTCAGAGGTCAGACATTTCCTCTGGTTTTAATGGACTGCATGTCATGCACAACTCACTTTTTGAAGTCAATTGCACAGGTGAACCAGAGCCGTGCATGCAAGTTGCGGAGTCCTCTTTCAACATGACAAATTCGACGGATTTGTGTTTTTAACATTTAGTCTTATACGACACGATCCAGCCAAATTACCTCCCTACAACTATTTTAACAATGCACACCTGGGAAAAATCCCCTTCAACGCCCCTCCAACTGGTAATTACTAGAGCCAAAATCGTATAGGCTATCATCCCCGTGCTCCGAGTTTCCCACATGCTCCTCTCTGACGTCCATTGTAAACAACAACAAAAATGACCGCAAGCATGCTGGCATCTTCATTTTTTTAGAAGTGAAATCAGCTCTGGAAATTTTATGTGCAAAACATAGCAAAACAATCACAAGCCTAATGACCTCCGTGTTTGATGGTATTTCCCATCAAAACGTGAATACACCCAACTCATATTTAGGACTTCACAATTGTAATTACCACCTTCCCAATTGGTTATGAACGCAGCATAACAACATTGGATATTTGACAGCAATAGGAGGGATTTTGTTTTCACATACCAAGTTATGTTTGACCAGAGTTTCCTGGTCTAAAGCGCAGCCTGGTTACTTAGGCTACTGCCACAGGTCTGTTGTGCATTTACAGTTTGGGCTACTCATAGGCCAACCAATAAATGCAAGCCTGTAAAGTAGGATAAACGTATAGTGTAACTCACAGCACCCAACATCAACTATGGACACTTGTTACCCTGAAGGCTAGGTGTATGTATTTTGCATTTAGTCTCCAAGTGTAGCCTTGCAAATGTCCTAAATTATAGGTCAAAAGTCTGGTATTAGGGCATTATCACAAAATGTGGCAATGATACAATATTTAATTATGCGTGCCTGTAAATAATGTGATAATAACACGTCCATTGATAAAGTGATCATGTAAGATCCACCACAGGGGCGTCATACCTCTGACTATTTGGAGGGAAGCTTTGTCTCCGCTTTTGACACAGCGTTGACAAATAGCTGTTTCATGCCTGTGACAAAAGCCTATAATCATAGTCTCTCTGTCGCTCTCCAACTCCAAGACTATGATCTCATCCCTAAGACTGAGTATTTTTAGCTTCCCGGGTACACACAGTGTAATGATAGGCCAAATAACTCACGTCCCAGCCGCCAATCTATGTGAAAGATGAACATGACAATCAGCCTGATGTTTTTATAACCGTTCAGCAAGTTCACCGCTTCCCAACTTCCGCTCCAAACTTCAGGTCAGATTTTCTCTTTCATTTCCCCTTCACCTAACTGTTTTATAAGCGGCTGAGAAAGAAAAGCAGGCAAATGTTGTCTATAATTTGTAAAACCAACAAACACACACACACACACACACACACACACACACACACACACACACACACACACACACACACACACACACACACACACACACACACACACACACACACACACAGACAGACAGACAGCACTAAAGACAACTAGCTGAATGAAAAGGGGAGAAACAAACACCTTTCTGTTTTCAAAATCAGTTAGTGGACAACAACCTACAGAGCTAAAACCACACAAGTGTCCATGTCTCTCCTCCTCTGGATCTAGGCCTGGACAGTATCTACAGGGTTGTGGTTTATCTCCACTTGAAATAACCTGTTTTTAAACTTTTTAAGAGATAGATTAGATATCAACACCATTGTCTTGTCTTGCTTTGAGTACACACTACCTTGGACCAACTAATAAAAGCTGCCTGGTAACCTTTGTTAATGTGAAATAAAATTAACAAATACATGCATGTTAGCTATAACAACATTTTCGAAAGACAGGGGAATAAATCCTACTAAAGAAGGTATCTGGGGCATTGCTACAGTGGGGGAAAAACGTATTTAGTCAGCCACCAATTGTGCAAGTTCTCCCACTTAAAAAGATGAGAGAGGCCTATAATTTTCATCATAGGTACACGTCAACTATGACAGACAAATTGAGAAAAAATAATACAGAAAATCACATTGTAGGATTTTTAATGAATTTATTTGCAAATTATGGTGGAAAATAAGTATTTGGTCACCTACAAACAAGCAAGATTTCTGGCTCTCACAGACCTGTAACTTCTTCTTTAAGAGGCTCCTCTGTCCTCCACTCGTTACCTGTATTAATGGCACCTGTTTGAACTTGTTATCAGTATAAAAGACACCTGTCCACAACCTCAAACAGTCACACTCCAAATTCCACTATGGCCAAGACCAAAGAGCTGTCAAAGGACACCAGAAACAAAATTTAGCTTGGTTTGAAGAAATCAACTGTGGGAGCAATTATTGGGAAATGGAAGACATACAAGACCACTGATAATCTCCCTCGATCTGGGGCTCCACGCAAGATCTCACCCCGTGGGGTCAAAATGATCACAAGAACGGTGAGCAAAAATCCCAGAACCACACGGGGGGACCTAGTGAATGACCTGCAGAGAGCTGGGACCAAAGTAACAAAGCGTACCATCAGTAACACACTACGCCGCCAGGGACTCAAATCCTGCAGTGCCAGACGTGTCCCCCTGCTTAAGCCAGTACATGTCCAGGCCCGTCTGAAGTTTGCTAGAGTGCATTTGGATGATCCAGAAGAGGATTGGGAGAATGTCATATGGTCAGATGAAACCAAAATATAACTTTTTGGTAAAAACTCAACTCGTCGTGTTTGGAGGACAAAGAATGCTGAGTTGCATCCAAAGAGCACCATACCTACTGTGAAGCATGGGGGTGGAAACATCATGCTTTGGGGCTGTTTTTCTGCAAAGGGACCAGGACGACTGATCCGTGTAAAGGAAAGAATGAATGGGGCCATGTATCGTGAGATTTTGAGTGAAAACCTCCTTCCATCAGCAAGGGCATTGAAGATGAAACGTGGCTGGGTCTTTCAGCATGACAATGATCCCAAACACACCGCCCGGGCAACGAAGGAGTGGCTTCGTAAGAAGCATTTCAAGGTCCTGGAGTGGCCTAGCCAGTCTCCAGATCTCAACCCCATAGAAAATGTTTGGAGGGAGTTGAAAGTCCGTGTTGCCCAGCGACAGCCCCAAAACATCACTGCTCTAGAGGAGATCTGCATGGAGGAATGGGCCAAAATACCAGCAACAGTGTGTGAAAACCTTGTGAA